CAACCTGATTCAACAGCTTTGCAGTTAGTAAAAGCCCTGTAATCATATAAAAGCCCTGTATCTCTTTGTTCTAATCAACTCATCTTGTTCTCACATACCAGTGCAAGGTGGTTCAACTAGTCTCATTAAGATGCTTCCGCTAATACATCATTACTCTGAGCCTTAGTTATTGAAACGATCCTGAGGGCATTCTGAGCCCAACATGAATCACGGCAAGATATGCCTTTTTACTAAAGAGTCCAGATGCATCACTGGAGTAGCCTAAAATGAATATGAGGGCCTGATACACACAGCTCGATGCTAAAATATATCTATATATTTGTTGGTTATGCTAGGATACAGTGAGTTGAGTTGCCCTTTAGAAGGTACAACAGTTTAAGTTTTCACACTTGTATCCCATGCTCGACATTCTAGACACACAATTCACTCGATTCCTACTCTGAGATGGTATCGAGCTAGGTTCTTTCCTAGACGTAGACTAACTCCCTAGGAATGTTCCTAGACTAGTATAGTCATTAGCCCGCTGTAGCGCATCCACCAGCCAGCTGTCCCGTCGCCCTTAGCCAGCTTGAGCATGCGCAAAACCAGCCACTTGTGCAACAGAAGTCTCAAGCTACCCCACTTCCCTCGGCAGCGCGTCCGGTCTCGTCTCCCTCACCACAGTCGTCTTCACAGTCATCGCAGCGGAAGGTCGCAGAAGACTCTGGGGGCGCTGCTACTGGAGGTGCCGGTGCTGGAGGTGCTTGTTGTTAGGGTGTTGGTGATGGAGGTACTGACTTTGAGGGTGCTGGTACTGGAGGTGCTGGTGCTGGAGGCACATGTACTGGAGGTTCTGAGTCTGAGCGTGTTAAAGCTGGAGGTGCTGGCACTGGAGGGCTCTAGGGGTGTTGGAGCTGGAGGTAGTAGCTCCGAGGTGCTTCTTCTGGGGATGTTGGAGTTGAAGATACTGGCTCTGTGGCGCCTGCTTAGCCTGCCATCTGTTTCCTGACGCGCCTTCAGCGTCTTCGGCAGCTGGAGTAAGAGGAGCAGGGGCGTTTGGCATAGGAGCGGCTGGAGCAACAGCAGCAGCAGCAGCCGCAGACGTCACAACAGCCACTGTTACAACGGTTGTCCCCACTTGTGAGTGGTCTTCGCACCCTTGGTCTGAGTTACTCTCCTCCTGACCGCTCACGTTCTCGGCCTGCTTACGGTCCTATGTTTCCTCCTCCGGACTCATTCCTGACTCATTTCTTTCTCGTTCACAGCTGCCTCCTCGTGTTGTCCTGCACACTTGGACCACCCATTGTCCCCCGGGTGCTCGTGTCTCTTCTCCACTAAATGACCTCCATTTGGTCTTGCTTCGTGCTAGTCCTCCTCGTTCTTTGCCTCAGTCTGTTCTTGCGTCACCTCCTGCGTTGTCACTTACAGCCTCCTCTCACCCTATCACTGACTACTACCGTACTACCCGACCTGTTGACTTACACGTTCTCGCCTCTCTTGTAATGGACACCACTGCCTATCTGTCGTCTGTCTCAGCTCCCGCTGTCACTGACTTTGCTGCCACGCAACACCTTGACTACGCCACCCGCGTGGTGGCTGCTCTCCCTACCCGTCCTTTGTCCGCAGGCGGCGAGTCTGCCCTTGGCCGTGACGTCCTAGAGGACACGCAGTTTGGGCTGGAGTTCATGGCAGCTGCTTCTCCCCGCCAATGAGGCTAAAAGCCCACCTCAGTTCCTCTGCAGGTGATCTTGGCCTCAGGGCACCGTTCGCTGTAGGGAACACCGGATGCAAAGTTGGATGGGTCTCGAACGAGGGCTTTGAACCATCTTCATTCTCGTCTCTCTTCATTTTTTTCGTTCTCGTTTGGCCTAGCTAGGCCATGAGGGGCTTTCTGGGCACCCATTTCTTGTTTAGACATCAACCCTCCGCACTCGTTTCTTTTGATTTCTAGGCATGGCAGAGCCCAACAGCACCTGCGCGTCTAGCACCACTAGCCACTCCTGCCCCACCGTAACATCTTGCTTCTATTGCTCCTCTAGCTCCTCCTGTGCCTCCCAAACCAGCACCTTTTTGAATGATGCACCAATTCTGCAGTGACTATACAGACATGACCGATCTTCGTTACAGATACATGAGCAGGAGGCCGCCAACACCCACAAATCGGCCTCCCTGTTCGAGCACATGTCGGGGTCCCTTCTGGCCCCCACGAGTGTTAGAAGGAAATGCTGCCATGGGCAACAAAATGTCGGCGCTGGGATTTCAACTCGTGACATTCAAGTCTGTCCTGAAAGTGTCTCATGACAGATTCAGGACAGTTTCTGCTAAGGCACTGATTATGGTGCACGCGAGTTTCGAACTGGAGACCTTTCGATTCAAGTGTCCCAAGAGTGTCTTGTCAGAACAGACTGGGGACCGTTTGGGGACCGTTTGGGGACAGTTTGGCGAAATCGGTCTCGTGTCGCGTTCGGTTTGAAACTCGGCAGCGAGGTGTCGAAGTCAACGGGATTCACACGGGAGTTATAGTTGGTGGTCAACAGAAATCTGGTCATGGAAATTCTCGTCTATGGAATTCCAGTCAATCAAATTCACTCGGCGAAATTCAAGGCTCAGAATTTCGCGTCGACGAAATTCAGCTCGCGACCTGGGTCGACACTTTTTTGTGTGCTTATATTTTGTATTATCACTGCTATGTTTGTGTGTATCTCTGGCTATAGTGAACCGTTTCCTGCAATCTTCGGTGCGTTGGAATTGTGCTTTTGAGCTCTATCAAGCTGCTATATCAGTGGAATTTTACATGGTATCAGAGCTGCGTTATCTACGTCGATCGAACTAGCGGCTTGATTCCGTCCTCCCGTCACTTTGTTCCTACGTTGGTGTGGCCGACGCTCGTTTTGACCGCGGATGGAGTGGTTAACGAGCGTTGAGGGTCTCAATGCTCATCAGGAGTTGGAAGCATCCGTTCGTGAGCACCACCCTAACTTGCGCGATGAGGAGATCGACCTTATTGTGGACGGTCGTCTACTACGCTTGGTTCGGGAGCGTGCAGCGGAGCAACCACCTGCGGGCGGCCAGCAAGATGGAGCTGGTAAGGGAGGAGCTCAGCACGAGGCTCCTGGTGCCGTGGGCATTGATGGAGGAGTTGTTGCACCGACCATTGACACGTGAATGATCGGCACGCGCTATGGCCAATTCGAATTTGGAGTTGAGCACATCTCCGTGACGCCGCTGCTGGAGGGATGGCACGACCTTACCGCGTGGGTTAGCGCCGACCGACCTCAGCTCCAATGTGCTGATTTGTGGCAGTTTTACAACAGGACAGCACCAAGCCCGGCCCCGAACAACCCCTTGCAACGAAGGGAATACGCAAATGGCCAAATGCTTGCATTCATGGTGCCGAACTGCTGTGTTTCTCCACCCATCCGAATGCCTATCTCTGGCTTCTCTCAGCAAAAGAAAGTCGTGCAGCTAGCATGGGCATATATATTGTCTACTTATCAAGCTCGTGATGCCCTCCACGCTTCCCTACACCAGACCCAGTTAGCCCAACTCAGGAAGGGAGATGATGAGACGGCGAAATCCTACTGCAATAGGGCCTGCACCATTCGAGCAGAGCTGCTGACCATTGGACAGGAGGTCCATATGGCCACGTTTGCCGCTCACATGCTAAAGGGTCTGCCACCGGAGTACGGATTTCTTAGCCGCAAGCTCCACATTTCCAGCCCTGACATGACGGTGGAACGCGTGTGCAGCGAGGTGTTGATGGAGGAGCAGACTTTGTCCATTGAATAGAGCTACAAGTAGATCACCAATGATGCATCGGCTTTCTCTGGCACTGTCAACACGATCGTGGCTACAACGGGGGTCAACGGGAGGAAGGGAAAGGAGGAAGGGAGCAGATGGACAAGAAGAAGGATGGCAAGCGGGAAAAGAGGCAAGCCCCCTTCAAGAGGCGCTGCTACAACTGCAATGAGGAGGGGCACATGGCTGCCAAGTGCCCCCAACAAGAAGAAGGATACAACGTCCGCGGCAGCCACAAACGTAGCCAAAGGAGATGGGAAGGGCGTGGTGCTTACCATCACGTGTTCGGCTGCAAAGTTGCTGGCCAACGACAAGGACTTGTGGTTTCTTGACTCAGGATGCTCCCAACACATGACCGGCCGCAAGGTGGTTCACGGTGATCCGCGACCCATCTGCAACAAAATCTGTCAAAGGGTTTTATGCTTCTATGCAAGAAGTCGCCGGTGTTGGTGAGGTTTTGCTGGAGGGCACTAACGGCTTGCGTTCTGCATGATGTCCTCTTTGTGCCATGAACGAAGGCCAACTTGGTCTCCCCTAAGCAGCTAACGCAAAAAGGAGCAAATATGCAAACCGAAGAAGGTGTCAGTCGCATCATCGCATCGGGAGGACAAGTGGCTGCAACCGCAATCAACATGCAAGGGAACGACGGCTGCAGCTACATACAATGGCAGGGCGGCGGCTACAGGGGCATGCAAGGGCACGGTGATTGCAACGGCATGTAACGGCACGGCGACTGCGGCGTCATGCAACAGCACGGCCACTGCGGTGGCATGCAACGGCACGGCGGCTGCGGCGGTACGCAACGGCACGGCGACTGCAGCAGCATGCAACAATACGGTGGCTGCGGCAGCATGCAATGGCACGGCGGCTGAGGTGGCATGCAACGGTATGCCTAAGGCATTTTCTAAGGTGGTGTCAAGCGAGCCGGAAGAGAATGACGAAGTGGCCAGCCTAACAACATATTCGGTGGGGACCGAGGCGATGCTCAACCTGCGGCACACTCACCTTGAGAATGACCATGCTGGTGCGGTGCAGTGAACAGCCACAAACGGTGGCGTGCTAGGCATGGACCTAGAGAAAGGAGGGGAGGACACGTAGACGCCTCCTCCCAAGAAGCCAAACTCACTCGTCGAACACTTCCGCTGCCTAACGAGTGAGAGGGGGAGGTTCTTGGGATGGTCCATGGCCCTGAGCAGAATCAGCCGCCTTCACGTACCGTCATCATGGTCCCGGTGCTGTCCGTGCAAGGGGGCGAACAACCGTTTGATCGTTCGGTTGACCCTGCGGGCATCAACGCAACCATGGCTCTGCCACCTCTCTGTCCATCCTTAGCTGCTGACCTGGCACCCATAGGACCAGAGGTTGGTCCCTCTGAGGATGAACGTCGTGCAGCTGATGAAGACAAGGAAGGAGAGGCAACGGGCCTGAAATCGACGGCAACCCATGTGAAGGACCCCATACCCATGGTTCCGCCCCTTCATCCCAGTCCCCCACCCCCATGTCATTCTAGCAGGTCCAACAAGGGTATGCCACGTGTTCGGCTTCTCGCATCAACCATGACGGCCTCGGATGCGGATGATGGCAACAACATGTACGACATGGCATTCCTTGCTGGAGGTGTTTATGGCACGGACATCAACTATGATGTGGAGTACTTGGATGAGGCTGATGAGGAGGAAGGGAATTGAAGAGCATCATCATCAACCTTGACTGGTCCTGAAGGCAAGGTGGTAGACAAAGGTCTCCTCGTGGTGGAATACCTATCATCCACGGAAGGCTATATTGGTGTGCAGATTGTGCGCGACCACCCCAACAAGACACTCCTCCTGCACCAGAATGCATACGTGGCGAAGGTGCAGCAGTTGTTCTTCAAGGGGGCGCCACCGAAGAAGCAGCTGATCACTCCTCTCTCCTCTTCCAGCTTTGTCATGGAGGATGCTGAGCTGTTTGCCGATAGCACCATGACCGATCGCCTTGCAGTGGGTGCACACCTATGGACGGATGCACATAGGCATGAGCTCTTCCGCACATTCTCCTTCTGGGCTGCCTCACCAGACATGGGGTTGCTGTTCAAAGGATGACCAGAGAGCTTGACCCTCGTGGGCTATGTGGATGCGGATGATGCGGGCGACAAGGAGAACAGGTCGTCCATGGGAAGCTTCCTCTTCAAGCTTGGCGGAGCTGCCGTTTCCTGGCAGGCCAAAAAGCTGCAAGGTGCGACCAAACTTTCCTCCACCAAGAGCAAGCTTGTGGCTGCGGTGGAAGCGGGAAAGGAGGGGCGCAAACTAAGGTTCCTGCTGTGTGAGTTTCAGCTGCTAAAGAAGGGTATTCCCACCACCATGTACGTCGACAACATGCCAGCGGTGCAGCTCAACCAGTCGGGCGGGCTGCAGGGGTGCATGAAGCATGTGGAACGTTGCCATATGTGGCTGCAGGACATGGTGCGCATGAAGAAGCTGGATTTGCAGCACATCCCTACGATGGTGCAGCCCTCCGACTTCTTCACGAAGGGGCTCGACAAGGCAGCCTTCAACCGATGCTGTGCAGCAACCGGGCTGGTCCAGCGTGCTCCTGACAGCAAGGGGGCGTGTTAGAAGGAAATGCTGCCACAAGCAATAAAATGTCGGCGTTGGGATTCGAACTCGTGACATTCAAATCTGTCCTGAAAGTGTCTCAGGACAGATTCAGGACAGTTTCTGCTAAGGCACTGGTTATGGTGCACGCGAGTTTTGAACTGGAGACCTTTCGATTCAAGTGTCCCGAAAGTGTCTTGTCAGGACAGATTGGGGACGGTTTGGGGCCAGATTAGGAACAGTTTGGCGAAATCGGTCTCGGGGCGCGTTCGGTTTGAAACTCGGCTGCGAAGTGTCGAGGTCAACGGAATCCATACGGGAGTTACAGTCGGTGGTGGACGAATTCTGGTCGCGGAAATTCTCGTCTATGGAATTCCAGTCAATGGAATTCGCTCGGCGGAATTCAAGGCTCGAAATTTTGCGTCGACAAAATTCAGCGCGCGACCCGGGTCGACACTTGTGTGCTTTTATTTTGTATTGCGTCGTCCTGGTATAAAACCAGAGAGCACAAACCAAAAATTAACAAAGTCATTACCACTGCTATGTTTGTGTGCGACTCCAGCTGAGCCTGCTGCTGACGCTGGGGAGGAGGTGTGGCAGCGTTACTGGGCTGACCGCGTTGCCTACACACGGTGGATCGCTCGCGACGCCACCTCCCAGTTTGCTATCTGCACTCATCTGTCTGACTTCACCACTGTAGCCGACCTCACATCTCACCTGCGCTCCCTTGAGAACCCGCCCCACGACTAGCCTCCCTTACTCTCTTCGCGCCGTTTGAGACCACTTCCACTCCCTCACTTAGCTCACCTTTGCCTCATTTGAGACCTGTCTCTTCGAGGCTGAGACCAGTGCCTGCGCTGTAGCTACCTCTCGTGGCTCTCCTAGCCTCTCCTTCTTTGAGGGGTGCTCTCCCTCCCTTCTCGCGCCCTCTGTTGCCTTTGCTGCTACCGCGGACTTCCTTGGTGTTGAGGAGGTCAACACTGTGTCTGCTACTAGCGGGAGGCGCCATAGCAGGGGTGGACGTACGAGGGGTGGGGGTAGTGGAAATGGTGGAGAGGGTGGTAGAGGTGAGGGTGCTGGAGGTGGCGGTCGCGGTAGGAGTGGCGGGGGTGGTGGATCTCGTGAGGGTGCCGGGGGTGGAGGAGGGGCTCGGGTGGTAGTCGAGGTGGAGCTGACAAGGGTGGACGCCCAGGTACGGCGAGTCAGGGAGCTGCGTCTGGTGGTATAGAGCTACTAGTGTAGGTGCTTGTGAGTCTGCTAGCACAGGTGTAGTTCTTGCGGAGGCTCTGCATACCTTCACGCTGGACTGAGGCGAGTCTCGCTGCTTCTTCCGCGACTGCACCACAGTCACACCGCTCACAACACCTGTACCTGTCACTCTGGCCAAACCCTCCTCTGGCCCAGACGTTGCACGCGACTCCACTGTTCTCCCGTGTCCGAGAGCGCCCTCTGACTCCCCCATAGGTCTCCACCTCCCCTCGTCCGCTACGAACTTGGTGCGTACATCTGTCCTCCAGAATCTGTTGGTCACTACCACCACAACCGGGGCAAGCTCGCGGCGACTCGTACGGACACTGTGACTGGCGACCACCTCACCACGTTCACTTGGAGGCCTTGGTCTGGCCTGTACACACTGCACACTGAGTCTGACAGGTGGTCGCGTCCGGTCAGGTAGCTGCGATTGCTCGTGTCGGTTACTCACACACCCGTCTCTCCTCTGGCACCACTGTCTTGGTCACCACTCCCTGCAGCGTCTGCGTCGCATGCACTCGCGTCTCCTTGTTTCTGGCCTCTCGAGGTCACTGCCCCCGCTCCCGCCGTTGCTTGCACTGTCGAACACTCCCTGCGTCAGGGAGCTCCTCACCCCTCCTCATTTTCTCCGACCACTGCTCCTCTGCAGATGCTGCACATGGATGTGTGCCCCCCCCCCCCTCTCCCCCCTCCCCACACCTCCCCGTCTCTAGGCTACTCCAGAAGTGATACTTACTGCTGATCGTCGATGACTACACGCGCTACACCACAGTGTTTCTCTTGCAGCACAAGGGAGACGTCTGTGTTGTTTTGATCCCTTGGATCCACGCTGTTCGCTGCCAGCTGAGCGCACGGTTCCGTCAGGACAACCTGGTGCTCCGTCTGCACTCTGATCGTGCAGGTAAGTTTTCGTCCGGACTCCTTGAGGACTTTTGTCGTGAGGAGGGCATCACCCAGTCGTTCATGCTTCCGGCCTCTGCAAAGCAGAAAAGGATATTTGGCCGCCGCATTGATTTTATCAAAGAGATTGCTCGTATCTCCATGATCCATGCGGCTGCTCCCCATTTTCTGTGCCCGTTTGCAGTCCGATACGCAGAGCATGAGCTCAACCTCTGACCCCATGTCTCTGAGCCAGAGACCTCACCTACACTGCGTTGGATGAGGGAGGTTGGCGATGCGTTGACGTTTCGGGTGTGGTATTCGCTTGCCCTTGTCCGCGATACTACCGCGAGCAACCTCTCTCCTCGCATTATTCGGTGCGTCTTCCTTGGCTTTCCCATCGACGAGCCTGACTGTCAGTTTTACCACCCAGACACGCCTCATTGTTACACCATATCTTCCCCCACTGCAGTTCTCTGGTCCCCCCGTCACCCCTCTTCCTGGTTCCAAGTTAACCCCCGATAGACCCCCTCCCCCCCTCGCGTCACACCACCCCGCTTGATTGAGCCTTTGGAGGTCTCCTCAGAACCCTCTGGCCCTGCTGAGGAGGGTGACCTAGCTGCTGACAACACTGTGGGCTCTCGACGCTCACCGCGCCTGAAGACCCCTCCTGGTTTTTTTCCTCGGCCGTCTTTGCCGCCTCTACAGCCTGTCGCTGTGGACTCCGTTGCTGCTGGGGGTGGTGACACTGGAGTGCGGGCTTTGGGGTTGCTAATTTTGGGAGTGCTGGTTCAGGGGTTGCTGACTCTGGAGGTGCTGGTTCTGGGGTGCTGAGCGTCCTAGTGGTGGTGGACCCGAGGGTGCTATTGCAGGAGGTTCTGCGGGTGCGTTGCAACCTTTGCCGCGGCGCCCCTTGTACTGGGAGCAGCAGTAGTCGTTGCTGCCAATTCCTGAGTTTGGTGTTGGAGGTTCTGGGGGTGCTGAAGCTGGAGGTTCTGCTGCTGGAATTTTCGGTGCTGAGGTACTGGAGATGGAGGTGTTGGAGCTGGCGGTACTGGAGGTTCTGGTTCTGGAGGTATCATGCTGGAGGTGGTGGAGGTTTTGGTGCTGGAGGTACTGGAGCTCGAGGCGCTGAAGCTGGTAGTGATGGAGGTTCTGGTGCTGGAGGTACTGCCAATAGAGGTGCTGGAGGTTCTGGTGCTAGAGATACTAGAGCTGGAGGTGCTGGAGCTGGCGGTACTGGAGGTTCTAGTGCTGGAGGTACTGCTGCCGGAGGTACTAGAGCTAGGGTGCTGCGCAGCCACAGCAGAGGCGACCGTTGTTCCGGGAGCAGCCGCGGTCGTCGCTGCCACCACCTGGCTCGGCACTTCTGGTAAAGTTATATCAAATATTTATCCTGCTTGCTGTAGTTACTGTAGTGTTTGTACCTCTTGTTGGTGGTGTATCAACTCCTCTGCATCATTCTCGACTATATCTTGTAACTCTTGTCATTATTGAAACCACTTCTTTGGTAAACATTCTCGCTCCTCCCTTGGCACGTTTCTCTTGACACCCGCTTGGCTTAGGCAACTAAGCCTAGGCCCTAAACCCGCTTCCTAAGCTAAGATACTACTTTCACAATTTCACCAAATTCTTCGTCTTCCATATGCCTTTGCAGAGCAGCGTACCGCTGGTACTGCTCCTCCCCTACTGGTCCCACCGACTGACCTTTCTCAAACACAGTTATAGCCTGGCTCCCCACTACCTGTTCCTTCTCGTTACACTGAGCTGACAGACTCCCTGACTGATCAAGAGCATGCGTCTCGTCCTACCTCACCTGCTGCTCGTCGTGCTCGCCGTGTTCGCCCTCCATTATTCCTAGCACACTATGGCACTTCGTCCTCCCTCTGTTGCACATCGTCCTATCCTAGCATGTCCTCCAGTGTCCTCTTTTCCTGACGTTCCTGAGGGGTGACGAAGTCATGTGCGGCTTGGACGTGTGCCGGTGTGGTTGGCTGCTGTGGTGTAAGTGGTTCCCGTTCGTAACAAAAAAAGAAAGGAGTTTTCCCTGCGGCCGCATGTGACGCATTGTTGTAAGCGAACTCTAGGGTCGGTAACTGTGTGTCCCAGTGGCTGACGTCGTCCTTGCAAGCTGTGCGCAGTAACTGTTCAACCACCTGATTGAGTCGCTCTGTCTGTCCGTCAGTCTGGGGGTGGTATGCTGAAGACATTGCAAGTTTTGTTCCCAACAGTCCCATGAGCTCCTTCCAGAACTTACTGGTGAATTTGGGGTCTCTGTCTGAGATGAGTGTAGCGGGGATGCCGTGGATGGTGATGATGCGGTCGAAGAAGAGGCGAGCAGTTGCTTCAGCTGTAGCTGTGGCGTTGGTCGGTATGAAGTGACCCATTTTAGAGAACTTGTCGATCACCACGAGTATGGCACCATGCCCTCGTGAGGTCGAAGGAAGTCCCGTGATGAAGTCAAGGCTAATGACTTGCCAAGGCTGCTCCGGTACGGGTAGAGGCTGAAGTAACCCTGCTTTTTTCTGCTTGCTGCTCTTCATCCGCTGGCACGTGTCGCACGAGGTGACGAACTGCTGCACGTCTGCTGCCATCCCGGGCCAGTAGTAATACTTCGCTATCCCTGCTGACGTCTTGTTGCTCCCGAAATGTCCCGCGTATGGTACGTCGTGAAACTCCTCCAATATGATCTGCCGTAGCGGGGCGTAATTCGGTACCCAAATCTTTCCTGAACCCTTCCTTACAGCTAAGTCTTTCTCCCACTGTAACAGCTTCTTGGTCTGTGCTGTAGCGATCTCTGCGTCCACGGAGTACCCATGTTGAAATAGACCCTTGAGCAGAGGGTTCATCCCGTCGAGCTGGATGCCTGCTACATGACCGGGGCGGCTCAACGCGTCTGCTTTGTTGTGTAGCCCGGGCTTGTAGACGATGTCGTAGTGGAAATGAGTTTCCAAGAAGTCCATCCACCGCACCTGTCGTCGTGAGAGAGTTGGCTGCGACTTCAGGTATTTCAGACTGCAGTGGTCAGTATATACTGTAGTATTGGCTCCCTCTAGGTAACACCTCCACGCCTTGAAGGCTATGACTATCGCTAAGGCTTCCTTGTCATGGATGGGGTAGTTCAGTTCTACTCCGTGTAGCTTCTTACTGAGGTAGGCGATGGGCTGCAAACCGCGTCCGTGATCCTGCATCAGTACTGCTCCGACTGCCTGGTCACTAGCGTCTGCTTCCGCCACGTAGTCCTTGTCTGGATCTGGTAAGATGAGTACTGGCGCTGTAGTCAGTGCTGTCTGTAGCTGCTCCATGGCTTGCTGATGAGGAGTATCCCATTTGTAGGGCGTATCCTTTTTCAGTAGGTCGGTTAGTGGCGCTGCTATCTTAGCATACTGCGGCACGAACCTGTTGTAGTAGTTGGCGAAGCCTAGGAACTGCTGCAACTCCTTCACGTTCTCCGGTACTTTCCATTTCTTGACGGCTTCGATCTTCCGCGGGTCCACGTGTACGCCCTCGGCACTCACCATGTGCCCGAGAAACTGCACCTTCTTCAGGGCGAAGTCGCTCTTCGATAGCTTCACGTAGAACTTGTTTTTCCGCAGGATCTCGAACACCTTCCGTAGATG